TGGTGCAATCCGATTCCTGATGTTGAAAAGCCCATCTTTGAACTCATCTCTGCAACCCCAACAATAGTGCCTGATAGCGCTGGGGCTATTTGTGTGCAAGTATCGTGAGCATGGGCTTACGTTTCTATTGGGAAGGAAGTTCCTGGCCTCATTTCAACCATATTGAGAAGCAATTGATTGAGGTATTCCAACCTTTAGGTATCACAGATTGGAACTCAATCTTTGGGCTGACATCCTGGTGGGCCTGCGATTTTGAACAAGTGGATGCAAGTTGGGTCTTAAACTGAAAAGTTAGGTGCAACTAGACAGTGTTGCTGAGTATGGTAATATGTCAAGCGTAACTGTGTTGTTTGTTCTGGATGAGATACGGAAGAAGTCAATGAAAGATGGGTTGAAGACCACAGGAGAAGGGTTGGAAGGGGAGTGCTTTTCGGGTTTGGTCCTGGGCTTACTATTGAGACATTGGTCCTCCGCAGCGTTAGCATTGCTTAGGGGATCTTTTTTATGATTTACTTGCTTTTTTCGGTTTTTTAATTTTGTATGGTATTACAATAAATGCATGCAAAATAGTCTAAAAGAATTATTTTTGGTTGTTGTTTCGGATGAGATACGGAAGAAGTCAACTGAAGATGGGTTGAAGACCACCAGAGAGGGTTGGAATGGGGAGTGCTTTTCGGGTTTGGGCTGGGCTTATATTGAGACATTGGTCCTCTACAGGTTAACATTGCTTAGGGGATCTTATTGACTTTGCTTTCTTTTCAGTTTTTCTTATTATGTATGTTATACAATAAAAACATGCAAAATATGTCTAAAAAGATATGATTTGAAAAATTGTAAATATATCTTTATCATAAATAAAAGTGGAAATAATTTTGTAATGCATTAATTTCTATTTCTGGAGCTTGAAAATTTGAACATAATAAGTATGATTATAAGTTAACAAGTATGTGGTTATAATAAATAGTAAGAATCATTCATTGAAATTTTATATATTCAAATAAACGTGTTACTGATTTAATTTATTAATTATTAACTTTGTAAATTGGTTAAAAACAATTCCTCATTTATTATCTTCTCAATTAATACGCATGTAAGTCAGAGTGAAGATTTTTCTTTTGACAAAAGAACAAATTGCATCAACCATGTTAAATTGTTAATAACTATTGACCCATGAATTGTGGATTAAGCAACATGCTTCATCGAAATATAGGCCATAGTTACAGCACATGTTAGTAACTACTATTTAAAAATCTTTTTTCCTCATTAAATTAGAGAGAAACAGTCAAAAGTTTCCTCCAAATTTTCATAAGCAAATTTTTTTATATTTTTTTCAAAGTTACAATGAAAAAATCATTTAATTATCGAAAAAGGAGATAATAAATTCACTAATGCTCCATGCATGGAATATGCCTTTTTTTTAGATATGCTTTACGCTTTTAATTTTTTTTTTTTTTTTTTTTTTTTTTTTTTTTTTTAATGTATGGGTCACTCAAACTACACAAATACTTTTTTGTCAACTGCTAGAACTAAAATCGTCAAAGTTTATTTGCTTATAATCTTGACCTCCTTATACTAATTATATGAGAATCCATTATTATTATTATTAGTAAATTTTTAATAAGTTAAATCTCTCTAGGTCTACCATGAGACACCTTAGTGGACAAATCAGTTAAAGCTTTCCAACTATACCGCTAGACAATCATACAAATTTTATGATAAGATTCTTAGGGTGTGTTTGGTTGGGGATAATCCTTTATACTCCAGCAATGTCATCTTATATTACTGAATTATCATGTTTGGTTGTCAAATAATAAGATTCTAGTAATCATTCAATGACACTTAATTATTTAGGTTGTATAGGTGGTAATCTAATACTACCATTTTTTGGTATTCTAAGATTACTTGGTAATCTTAATTTTGTTACAATTTTACCCTAACTAATAATTTTTTGGACATTAATGCTTATGTTCTACCACGAATTTACAAAAATATTCATGAACTATTTATCCTTATATAAGATTTTTAAGACATTAATACTCTTATACTTCGACCAAATTACCCAAGACCACAGCCAGATATTGCCACCAACGCGTCGACGTCGTTGGAACAATGCATGATCGACGAATTTGGCCGACCGTGCGTCGTTGGTCGTTTTCGACCAGATCCATGGCTGTTAACGACCAGATCCTCATGGATTTGGCTAGAAAGAAACAGCCAGATCCATTTTGGCCGGATCGGCCAGATCAAAATGGATCAAAACGAAAATGGCTAGATCCATTCTGATCTAGCTGTTAACGACTATGGATCTAGTCATTTCTTTCTGACCAGATCGACACACAACCGATGAGATTCGATCATCATGTGCATTTTGGTGATACGGTCACGATCGGCAGCCAGCAGTCTCTGGGTGGTTAGGGGTGTTTTGGCTAAATTTTAAAGTTTTATTGTGGCGTGTGGTGTTTTAGCAAAATCTCAAATGTAAGGGTTAAAATAATATCCAATCAAATAATAATAAATAAGAAAGGCAATTCAATAATTTATATAAACATACCTACTAATTTATTCCTCTCAACCAAACATATCAATATAATACACCCACCAATTTATTCCAATCTTACCAAACATATTTAATATAATATTCCCAGTAATCTTCAAGGTAATTTATTTTTCCATTAATATAACATTCCAAGTAATATTCAAGGTAATCTATTTTTCTATTAATATAACATTCACAGTAATATAATATTTCATTAACCAAACACCCCCTTAGTGTTTTATTGTAACAACGAACACGTTAACTTAGAATCATACTTTAATTATTCATTTTTTTATTTTTTACTTTTGTTTCTAACGTACCATTCCTTGATTGGATCTAAAATTTAAATTATTTGACTTTACTATGTAAAGTAAATTTACATAAATAACCTTAATCATTGCTATCTTTGACAATAATAAGAGTGTGAGAAATATGGCTCAAAAACATTGAATATTGGAAAATATGATGTAACTTATATCTCGCATTGTTAGAAAACTAAGAAGTCAAGGGAGTGGAACCTTCCTAGATACCATATGGGTAGTTAACAAAATGTCAAGTTTTTTGTTAGCTATATAAAGAGGTATTAAGCTTTAGTTTGAGCGTCCCACAAATTTGTAAACATTTATGTAGACAATAAAATTTACGTTGAATCAAGAGACAATCTTGTAAGGACGAAGCCACTGATAATTGCGTAGACCTGCAAAGACAAAGAAAGTGAGTGTGAAGTCTCGGGAGACACCAGTGTAGTGTTTGTCATAGGTACTCTGACACTCAAGTTAGCACGGTAGAAGAGAATATTTAAATGAGGCTAAGAGCGGGAAAAAGTTTATCAAAAGTGTTTGGCTAGGGCAAGACTATCGTAAAGTGGCCAGAGCACGACAACTAGGGGAAGTAAAGTTAGTCGGAACTAAGCTTTACAGTGGGAAATGTGGCAATTCTTGAGAGCAAGAACTCTGAGAACTTAAGCTATGGGTTGTACGTCAATGTATAATGAGAGATTTGACCTCTGTTTATATAGTGAGTCAAAAGAGCTTGAGTCCTTGTAGAACTAGGCGTTCTCACAATAAGAGTTTGGGTAAACAGGAAACTCATAGTGTTTGTCCTTGTAGAAGTAGAAATATTAATTCGTGAAAGATTAAGAATCTTAGATGAACTAAGAAGTAAGTAGGACTCTAAATCCTATTTTGAAATTAATATAGGCTAATGGGCTAAAGCCCGATTTAGCTTAACTTGTTGAAAGCCCAACTCATAGATTGGCCCAAAGCATAAGTTGACCTAGTTTGTAGGGTGGCTAATCATAAAGTGATCCAACTCATAAAATAACCCAGCTTATGAAGAGGATTGACTCGTGGTGTGGTCTAACTCGTAGAACATTGGGCCGACCCATAGAATGGATCTTCTTATAAGATAGGTAATCCCATTGAATGGTCTCTTACACAAGGTGGCTTTAAGCGTGAACTCAACCGGAATTGGTTAAGACATTGGGTTAAGACATTGGGTTGTAAAGTATTGATTTCGTTATTGGGTCTGATAAGGTTCGATAAGTTTTTTGGCTCATACAATTTACTCCTCTTGAATGTTTTGAGTGAATGTTTTAATTTGTAAGTGAGAGGTTCAAATAATTTTGCAATTCTCGAAATTAGTGAATTGGTCATCACGACCTGAGATCGTAGGCACACTTGTCGAACCTCATAAAATCATGTGTTTTCTCTAATTTAAATTTTTGCTCAGCTAGTTTTATTTTTCTATATCTTTTATTGGTGCTTCTGCTTTAGAAGTAGTATAATTTTATACTACTTCTAGTTTTAAGCACAACATACTATCATCGTCTAAAAGACGAATTAATGCAAATCAATATGACCCCAAAAAAAAAAAAAAAAAGCTGGTTCTTGTCTCCTTATAAATCAGTTTAACAAATAACATAATACAGAACACAAACTGGAAATTGAAACTAATGAACATAAAGAAAATAATACAAGAAGCCCTTACTCCAAATTTGAGCAAAATCGAAGTCCTTCGACCATGTGATTCACATAATCAAGATCAAGTTTTTGTTATCTTTTTCTTCCACTTAGTCGACACACTCACCAACTTGCACTTGGTTTAGTTCACACTAATTCTGACCAGCAGATTATTTCCTGTGAAAAAATCTGAAGAAAGAAACGCATGCAAAAGATTTACTTTTTAAAATATGCGATCTTTGTCCAGGAGAGAAAAAGTTTTTGGGCACAAAAGTGAGAAAGGGATAAGATCATTGTTGTTTTATTGTTTCAACTTTATTTATTATTATGAAAAGAGAACTATAAATAGTATAAATATTCTCTATTTAAAGTGTAAACGTTATGCACGATTTGCATTTGTTACTGTATATTAATAGACTCTATTTAAAACTTTGATTACGGCAAATAAATTGGTCATCTCTTGCTAGCACTCCATTTATGTTCAATGGCACTTCAAATACTTGTTGCAGCAAACTCCAAGCCATGCATTAATCCACTTCCATCAGTCAAATTTCCCCCAAAAATTCGTAGCCATCCCTTAGTTTCCTTTAATAGCTCAGTAAATAAATCAGAATCTATGAGTGCATGTTTCGCAGCTAAAGACAACCAAGAAGTTTATCGTCCTCTCGCAAACTTCACCCCTACGGTATGGAAAGACTCCAGCATCTTCACTTCTTCTCTACCTATTACAGTAATCAACTGGGTCCCTAGCTAGCATCATAATTATAGTATAGTGTATTATTCCCTTGAGTATCATAGAATTTTTCTATATATTATTTACTTAGCCAACTGAGAAGCTAAGAGTAAACTCAAATATGAGAGCTATTGCATTCCTATAGTAATCACTCAAATATATATCAATACACCGTTTTCATTTTCTATGTTATATTCAAATTTCAATATTAATTGTTGTTATTTGGCTTCAGGAAATTGAATCAAATGATAGACGTGCAGAAGAGCTGAAACAAAAAGTGGAAGAAATGCTAATTACTCCTCTAAATGATCCGGTAGTGAAAGTTAGCTTCATTGAATCAATATGTCGCCTTGGTGTGTCATATCACTTTGAGAATGAAGTTGAAGGACAACTAAATCAAATTTTTGAAGCACAACCTAATGTCGCCAAACATGATGATTATGATCTCTACATTGTAGCTCTTCTATTTCGAGTTTTTAGACAGCATGGTTACAAAAACTCATCTCAAGTCCTTGGCTAAATCAAGTCCAGATCATCTAGCAAAACATATAACAAGTGCTCTAGAAGCGCCCTTGCACAAAAATGTACCAAGATTGGTGACACACAAATACATCTCTTTCTACCAAGAAGATCCAGGCGAATAAAGAAACGAAACTCTACTCATATTAGCAAAACTAGATTTTAATCGGGTACAATTATAGCACCAAAAAGAGCTCAACCAGGTCACCAGGTAAGTTTGTTGAAAATTTTTTGTCATGCTTTCATCCAATTAGTGCTCACCCTATCAACCCCTAAGACCAGCATCTTTCATATGATTGGATACCGAGCTACGTGTTTTTGAAGATCAGGTAGCGATTTTATATAATAATAAATCTAGATTGTGTTGTCATTCTTATTGCAGTTGGTGGAAAAGATAATAAATTTGCATCAAAGTTTTCTTACTCGAGATAGAATTGTGGAGATGTACTTCTGGACGACTGCAAATTATTTTGAGCCTTGCTATTCACGTGTCCGTATAGTACAGGCCAAACTTATAATGATATTAACGATTATAGATGATGCATATGGTAAACTTGAAGAGCTTCAAAGTTTCATGCACAGACGCCTTAGAAAGGCATATATATGAATATGTGTGTGTGTGTGTGTGTGTGTGTGTGTGTGTGTGTGTGTGTGAGTTTGGTCAAGGTACCCTGTGTAATTAATTCAAATCTTAATGTTACTTTCAGGTGGGACACTCATGCAACTGGTGACTTGCCAGATTATATGAAAACACTATTGTTAAATAATCCAAAGAAATAATAATAAAAAAGAGGAGGCTAGGGTTTCATTGATACTGCACAATTTAATTGAATACAAAAAGTATGATTTAACCTAAATACAAAGATATATATAAGCTAAACAAAGGAAATAATGAAAAGACAGATCTACCCTTAATAAACAATAAAACAAAATAACTCATATTTCTTAACATCTCCCCTCAAACTCATGATGCGGCGGCTACAAGCATCGAGAGTTTGCCAACTAGAAAACGAAAACAGGAAATAGAATGCGACTTGGTAAAGAAATCTGCAATCTGCAAAGAAGAAGAAACAAAAGGCAAGGTAATGGTGCCATGATTGAGATGATGACGAGTAAGGTGACAATCGATCTCAATGTGCTTAGTTCGTTCATGAAAAACCGAGTTGTGAGCAATCTGAATAGAACTCTGGTTGTCACAATACATGGGAGTGGGATGAGAAAAAGAAACGTCCATATCTACAAGTAACCAACGTAACCAAACAATCTCTTTGGTAGTAGATGCCATAGCACGATATTCTGCTTCGGTTGAAGATTGAGAAACAATGGATTGTTTCTTGCTCTTCCAAGAAGTAAGAGAATCGCCCAAAAAGATACAGAAACCAGTAACAGACTTGCGATCCATGGGATCACTGCCATGATCAGCATCAGAGTAGCACGCAGCTCCAAGGAAGAGGTGGATGTAAAAGACTCTGAAAGACTATACCCCAAAGATACCGCAAAATACGAAGAACAGCTGCCCAATGAACTGTAGTAGGAGAAGCAACAAACTGACTAACAACATGAACAGCATATGCAATATCTGGACGAGTAATAGTGAGATATACCAAACTCCCAACAACAGTACGGTATAAAGTAGGATCTTGACAAAAGTAAACCATTAGAAAGAAGATACTTTGCATTAACCTTAATCGGAGTATCGACAGGCTTATTATCAGTAAGTCTAGCCCGCTCAAGAATATTGCAACATATTTCACTGAGAGAGTAATAACCCTAGGGTGGATGCTACCTCATACCCAAGAAATATCGTAGAAACCCAAATCCTTCATTTCAAATTGTTGAGCTAACTCTGTCTTCAAATTGAAATACCATCAATATCATCACCATAATAATCATCATCACATATAACAGATGAACAACCTGCACTAGTGCACTTAACAAAAGAGCAGAATCATGACTACTAAAGCATCCAAGGGAAGAGATCACAATAGAAAATTTCTCAAACCAAGCACGAGGTGCTGTGTTAGACCATATAACGCTTTCTTCAGCTTGCAAACATACCCAGAATCATGTGAAACACCAGGAGGGGCGCCATATAAACTTCTCTTGAAGATCTCCATTCAAGAAGGCATTTTTAACATCAAGTTGAGAGATATCCACTGACGAACCGAAGCTACTGCACTAAGAGTACGAATAGTAGTCATTTTTGCAACAGGAGCAAATGTCTCCTCATAATCCATACCATACTATAGAAGTACCCTTTTGCAACCAACCTAGCTTTGTATCGCTCAATAGATCCATAGAATTAGTCTTGATCTTATACAACCAACGACAACCAACATAGTCTTACCAGAGTAGAGGAACCAAATCCCAAGTACCTGTCTTATGCAAGCAGAAAGCTCCTCATCCATAGCTTGCTACCAAAGAGGATCAAGAATTGCCTCTTTATGGAAGAGGCTCAGAGAGACAATGAATATAAGCTAAAAAGAAGCAAAAGATGAAGATAACAGAAAACAAGAACAAGCAAAATCTGGTAACTTTGTGGACTTACGAATGCGTATGGATTGAGGTAGAGGTGATCCCAATCTCAGCAAAACTTGAGTGCCCATAGGAAAAGAGGGAGCTTCAGGTGTGCTGGAGATTAAATGTCAGTACCTGCATGATCAATACTAGGAACCTGAGATGACAACTATCAGAATCCTCAGAAAAAGGACTATAACGAATTAGATCAATCTAGTCAAGGTATGAGTAGTGGATGGAATAGAAAAGAAAGGTATATCTCAAGAAAACAACATGACGAGACACAAAAGTTCTGATGTTATGATCAAAACAACGATACCCTTTTTACCTTCACCATAACCAAGAAAGACACAAATAGCAGATCAGAGGACAACTTGCTGCGTTTTACATGAGACGAAGAACGAACATACAACCAAAACTTTAAAGGAAGAATAATCAGGGCCATACCCATACAACTTTTCGAGGAGAAAAACTTGAAATATGAGAAGATGGAATTGTATTTCAAACCTACAGCAGTAGAACCTTCACCCCAAAACACACTAGGAACAGAGGCAGACAATAAGAGAGAAAGAGCAGTTTCAAACAATGTGCCTATGTTTTCTTTCAACAACACCATTTTGCTCAGGAGTATCTGTCACGGGTTTGGTGAACAGTTCCATCTAATGCAAGCAACTCAAAATTTATTAGAAGTGTATTCCCCACCAAATCACACCTAAAACATTTTTATAGCAGAATGTTAGTTTTGACAAGAGCTCGAAAGGCTGTATATTACTCAAGAATTCAGAACGATGTTTCATTAAATAAACCTAACAATAACATTATGATCATCAATAAAAAACATAATATCGACCCTCCTTTTGTGGCAACAGGAGAAGGTCCCCATACATAAATCAATCAAATGGAGAAAGAAACAGAAATACTTCGATTAAAGGTAAAGCTAAAATTTTGCCAGTTTACATCTACTACAATCAGAAATATCACAAGTTTGCAAATTTCCTAAAGCCCCTGTGGATGCCAAAAATCTCAAACGAGAAGACAAAACATGACCTAAACAGAATGCCATAAATAAAAACTAGAAAAAAAGACTCAAACGAAAAGAAGACAAATCAACACTAGTAGTGGTAGCAGCACTAGTAGCAGCTGCAACTGGCACTTTTACCTCATCCAAATATATATCCCCCCTTCCGCGCCTGTCCAATCAGCTTCTGAGACTGTAGATCCTGCACATAACAAGAAGAGAGGAAAGTGACTAATTACCAAATCACATAACTGACCAACAGAAGCAAGATTTAATGTAAGTTTTGGAATATAAACATTGAGAGAGACAAGTGAGGTGTGACAATGAACCAACACCTGCTAAAGGCATAGGAGTGCCATCAGCAGTCATGACGGATAGAAGACAAAGAACACAGAAGCAAAAGAAAAGAATCTGGAGACATATGATATAAGCACCAATCCAAAACCCATCAAGAATGTACATACCTGAAGATTATGAGTAACTGACCTACGAAAGAAGCAGACAAGCTTGTGGCTGTAAGGAGAGAAACTCTGAAATTGCTCAGCCAGAGTACTAGGATCGGTGAAAGGACCTGATGAAACTACTACTGCAGTTTAGACTATGGTGGTTTGTACCCCGAGGTGGTCTTAAGCTTAGATTATGACTGGTAGCCACTTCCAAGCTTAATATTGCTGCTGCGATTGATTCTGCTGCCTCAACTTGGACATTGAGCCTTCCAATGACCTTTTGCTTACAGAACTTGCACTCTCGAAGGCAACTCTGTGTAAGTTTTTCTGATTATTAAAGACTGGCTTCGAAGGTACTGCTAACACAAAGGATAGAGTAGAAGCAAAAGAATTCCCTTTTTAGAATGAGACTTAAGAGCTTATTTCTTCAGGCAATAACTCACTGACAACTGAGTCAACAAGGCATTAGAGAATGACGCAAATTGAACCTCTAAGTCTTTCAAAATCACAGCGAGTGCCGTCAAAAATTGTACCAACCGTTGCTGCTCCCTATGGACAATTAGGCACCACTCCTTTAATTTTGCAGATTTGTAAGAGCCAATTGATCCCAAAGATTTGTCATACAGAATAAAACTCATGAACACTCATATTCTTCTGCTGAAAGCTCGTATGTCATTCTCTAATTGATACTGCTTTGCAAAATTGACTGAGTAATAACCTTTGTAGATGATCCCAAACCTCCTTTGCGTGCTCATACTTCGCTAATGTGTACCTATGGAATGCCCAACAATTGTTAATCCAATATAATAATTTTCTATTGTTTGCTTCCCAGGCGTCTATCAAAGCATCATAACCCTCATCAGTATTCTTAGGTTTCACAGAAGTTCCACTAACATATCCCTACTCTTTTTACCCTTAAGAAATTTCATCACATAACTCCAATACGAATAATTCTTGTCATCTAACCTCACACTTACAGACTGAAGCGAATCGTCTCTTTTAGTAGCCATATTCAAACACAAAGAAAACCAGAATGCAAAAGAAACGAAAACGAAATACCAGATTGCCGAAATTGAACGATACAACGAAATATCAGATTGCAGAAACTGAACAAATACCCTCTCCAAAAAGTTGGATCCGCGCAGCTATGTTTAAGATTAAGCCTCGTCCCATGAAACCTGGCTCTGATACCATGTTAAACAATCCAAAGAAATAATAATAAAAAAGAGGAGGCTAGGGTTTCATTGATACTGCACAATTCAATTGAATACAAAAAGTATGATTTAACCTAAATACAAAGATATATATAGGCTAAACAAAAGAAATAATGAAAAGACAGATCTACCCTTAATAAACAATAAAACAAAATAACATATATTTCTTAACAACTATATAGTGTTATCCTTAATCTCTTTGGTGAATTAAATAATGATGTGAGCGAGGAAGGAAGATCTTATAGTGTATCAATCACGAAGGATAAGGTAACCATATCTGTTTGCTATTACGTTTCAAAACACATAATTGTAAATTTTCGCTAATCAATTTTTGTAATTGTATTAACATCTATCTATGTATTTATTTTTGTTAATAACCAGCTGAAAGAGTATGTGAGAGCCTGTCTTGTAGAGGCCAAATGGTTCGATGAAGGTTTTGTTCCATCATTCAACCAACGCTTAAGCAATGCAATAATCACAGCAGGTCCTGCTTTCATAATAGCAGCATCATTTTTGGGGATGGGAGCTAGAAACTGCGGGGATCAACGAATTTGAATGGCTACAAAATCATCCTAAAATTGTTGAAGCTGTATTTACAATCGCTCGTCTCAAAGGCTGACATCAAAGCTCACGAGGTACATAAAAAAAAATTAATTTTTTTTGTACAAATATTTTCTGTATTTATTTCATGAAGGCCATCTAATTAATTACCAATACAAAATGTATTTGAAGTTTGAGCGAAAGAGAGGACACGTTGCGTCTACCGTAGGCTGCTACATGCAGCAATATGGCAATGGCATGATCTCCAAAGAGGAAGCAATAAGTTTGAAAATTTATTTGCTAATGCTTGGAAGGATATTAAGGAAGAGTACATGAAACAAACTGATGTCTCAAGAAACATCTTACTTACAGTTGTCAATTTTGCACGATTAGCAGAAATACTGTACAAGAACAAAGATGGATTCACATTTCCAGAGGATTTGAAAGATTACATCATCAAGTTGTTCATTGATACAATACATGTTTGATCAGAGCTGTGACTGTCTACTACGTCTAGCTCCCTTTGCTATGTTTTAGCCTGTTTTTGTACTAAAATGCAATAAAAACCTGTTATGTACCTCTTTCGTCTATCATTCACAAGACTATCTTTCATATATTGGTCCACTATTATCAAGATCATATCACTTTAAATACTGGTATATGCAGGGTTGAGCATGAGTGGTAGAACTAGAACCAACCCCATTAGGGTCCGGTTATGGAAAATTGGAACCACGAATTTCTGGGTCTGGTTCCGGTTCCTATAGTGCTAGAACTGGGAATCAGAACCAGAACCAAGGTCCGAGTACTCGGGCAAGAATGGGACTAAATTATAATTTTTGTAAACTATTGAGGGTGTATTTATAATATTTTAGAGGTGAATTTGTTATTTTTTAACCAGTAGAAACCTATGTTCCAGGTTTTTAGGAAACGTTCAATTCCGATTTCGATTCCAAATCTTAGGAACTGGCTGGTTCTAGTTCCAATTTTGGTTCTTTCAAAAAATGTAGGGTACTTAGAACCGATCACCCCTAGCCGTATGTGCCCCCTTTAAGAAGACTAACATTAATTAATATCAAACAGTTGAGGGGTAAAATCGACTTCTCAAATCAGAACTGGCCAACTGTTTAATTTTAGATATTTATAATGAAAGGAGAGAAAATGGAGAAAAGAAGGGAAGGGTGGGGAGAATATCAATAAGAGGGGCAAAAGAGGAAATGGAAGAGTTATGTTTTATGTGCCACTTGACTTCAAAGTCTCGGGTTCGAGTCAAACAACTCAAGTTTTTATAATTACAACTTTCAGTATGTTTTGGTCATTTCATTGTCACATAACAGAATCCATTAATTTGAGGGGGAACTTTAGTACTTTTTAGGGGTGAGCAATTTCGGTACCTGCATTTTCAAGGGAACCGCACAATCAGGTTCTAAATTCAAGGAACCGGAACCTAAAATGCAGGTTCCGGCTCATTTCCCGTGTGCCCATAAAAAATAATACCCCCCTATTACTTTAAAAAATAACAAAAATACCTTAAAAGTTTACAAATAACCCCTAACAAATTTTGATCGCTCATTCATGTGTCCAATGTGACTCATAAATCCTCTAATCTCAGATAACACTTGAATTCAATCAATTCCTCACAATTCACATAAAATTCTCAATCAAAACTAAAACACAAACAATTGATTAAACAATCATACTATAATCTATATTAATATTATAATTAAAATTCTAATCAATTAATTAAGTATTGTACTATTGTTTATAATGGAACATTATATTAATTAGTAATCATATTATGAATCTATAATGTAATGTTATAATTAATTAATTTTTAATATTTAATTAAATAATGTACTAATGTTTAAATTACTAATGTATATAATGTAATGTTATAAATTATAATTAATTAAGTAATCATTTAACTATGTAATGTTATAATTAATTAAGTGATTAAATATAATGTAATGTTATTATTAATTAAGTAATTTTTAATTATAATGTAATGTTTTAATTAATTAAATTTCTAAACATTTAATTAATATTGTACTATTGTTTATAATAGAGTTATATTAATTAAGAATCTTAATTAGATGTTATAATTAATTATGCGATCATATATAATGTAATGTTAAAATGAATTAAGTAATCATACATAAATCTTTAATGTAATGTTATAATTAATTAAATTTTATTCATTTAATTAAGTTTGTATTAATGTATAATTAATTAAGTATTATAACGTTAATGTATAATAATTAAGTGATCATACTATAAATTTATAATGTAATGTTATACTTAATTAAATTTCTAATAATTTAATTAAGTATTGTGCTAATGTAGTAAATTATTAATGTTTATAATATAATGTTATAATTAATTAAGTAACTATTTAATTAAGTAATCATTTGTTTATAATATAATATTATCATTAATTAAATAATTATACTATAAATCTATAATGTAATGTTATAATTAATTAAATTTCTAATTATTTAATTAAGTAATGTACTATATTACTAATATAATGTTATAAACTTATAATTAATTAATTAATTATTTGACTATAATGTAATGTTATAATTGATTAAATAATCATTTAACTAGTCATGTATTAATATTTATCAATTTATCATATATAATTAATCAATTACTAATTTATTACAGATATACTTAGAACTTGATAATTGAAGTAAATAACTAAATATTATATTATTATTCAATCAAATGTACTATTTTATTCAAAAATAATTCTTTTAATAATATTAAAACACTTTTAATTGGTCTTAATTCCAATTATACACTTACTTAATCGAAAATTTAATATTAATATATTATAATATATTAAAGTTTTTTATATGGTATAGTTTATATGTAATAAGTATAATTATATATTTATTTAATTAGGTTATTGTAAAAATTTAACTTTTTCCATTTTAAATTTTTTTATATGTAAAATACAAGAGACCCCCTATTTTTCACAAATATTTCATTTCAACCCAAGTTCGAAAACAGGGTACCCACTGCATGTTTCAAGCAGGTTCCAAGCCAGGTACAGGCTGCAAGTTCTTTTTTCCAAGTTCAGTTCCAAAAAAGAAGAACCAAAACCTACTCGCACAGCGTTAGTTCCAGGGAGACTCCGGTTCCGATTCCGGTTCTACCCGTTACCTGTGCTCACCCCTAGTACTTTACTAGTATTTATAACTGCAGGACGTTGATAATTAACGAAAAAGCCAAGGGTGATCAAAGTCTCTCCGCAAGCAGAATTTTTCTTTCTTTGATCATCAAAAGCAAATTGCAGTTTCCGCATGAGGTTTCACTAAATTATAATTTATATTCTCAGTAATCGAAATTTTTATCATCTATTTAACAGATTTTACCTCTGGTTCCTTAATAAACACCAAAGTTTTATTCGAAAACTGATTGTAGGGATAAATCGTTATGTTTTTATACTTCAAGGATAACATGTTATTTAATGGAACCTTAAAAGGAAAAAAAAAGGTACTTGAAGAAATAATTGATGAATCATGACTATGATGTGTCATAATACTTTTTGCAACTTTTTGCAAGTTCTTATGTGCTCAACGCTATCAGGGAGCAAGATGCAAGTCCACCAAGAATTTTAAACGAATTATACTCTCAAAACACTATATGGATTTAAGCAAATACTTGATAAGATTTTCATATCTACTCAGATTTGTCAAACACAACTCACCATAAATTAGTTATGTTTAGACAATGTATGTGTTGTTCTAATAAGTAATAACCAAAGCATGTAACAATGAAACAGTTGTCTGTTACATAACAATGAATGAATTACTCTTGCTTTAAACACATAACCCTTATTTCTACAGTTAGTCCTCATCATCAGAACTCGCATATGCTAAGCCTAGTAAGCTCTTCACAGGATTTTCCACCTCCGTCTGCGTTTCTGGTTTGTTTGACATGGGTGAAGTTCGCTCTCCACCATGCTTCTGGTCAACCTCAGACCTTAAATTTTTTGATGCGGAGTTACTTGAAACAAGGCTCGACTGATTACCAACCAATGGGCTAGAAACTCTTGGTCTCTTCGGTTTAACCTCAACTACCTTTTTCAGCAAATCATGTTGTCTACAAAACAGATAAAAATTACAAAGATTAGCCAATATAAGCAAGGTAATCATGGAGTGTAAACATAATGACTTGAGTAGGTTTTGTCATGTGTATATGATCTAGAGTCTGCAGAAAGAGATACCTAATTCCGCTCTTTGGCTTGGGCTCAACACGAAGTGACAAGGGAACAGATGCAGGTGAAGAATCAGCCAAACTTGCAGCTTTGTGTCCAATGGTCAAGGAAAAAGGTGAGGATTATACACTTTAAGATAAACCAATCAACATCTGCATCTTTTTCTCCAAACGAAATGCAACAGTACCGGGGTGATTGACACCGTAATGATGCTGAAGCATTTGAAGTCTAAATTCTTTGTAAAATGAAATGTCAACTACGGTTTCACCAAACTAAGCAGAACAAATTATGGAAATGATACTGGAACACAAGGTTATTATACTCATGTCACTGAAACAAATGGATATTTGGAGGTAAAAAAATGAAAAGAGTAAAAGTACAAACTTCCAAAAACAATATGTAGGGAAATGACAGTGTAATATGTGTTCTGCAGTGACAACAAAACTAAAGGTATAAAATCTAGCAAATATATAATTTTGCAGCAACGGTTGAAATGAAGTAACATCTAGTGCTAGATGGTTCAAAAATGAAACAGATAATTAGTTCACAAAGCCCATATTTAGCCTGCATTAAGCATCCCATTGGTAAACAAAATACATTCATTTCGCCTTTTTGTCATTCCCTGAAGAGTCTACTAATCAATGTCACACAGAAAAAGGACTGAACTACAAGTTTAGTGGTAAATTAAATATCTTCCTCCAAACAGGCACATGAAAGGATATCTTAAAAGCAGCAAAAGCTCGTTTCTCAGTACGCCTTAGGAGACGTTCAGCATCTTCCTCAGCTTCCATCTGCTCCTTAAGATAGAGCAAATCATCACTGTCCAAGGCTGCATAAACAAACCTCAAACACACCATACTTAAAACAACTCTACAAACAGTAGAGCACATGGAATAACGAAAAAGGTCAAAAGGGTTTACCGCCTCGGCCATGAAGATAGCCACCACGTTCTCCAGCAACCTCTTGCATCTGCTTACATCAACCACCCAATAGGAAGCCAAAATCCCTGTCGGGGCATGTTATCAGAAACCTCTCCACCAAAAACCTCAACTTCTCAAGTTTCTCTAATAAAACAGAACTAATATTTTCGGAAAACTCAACCACACAACCTCAACTTTTCATCCCGCTATTAGAAAACATAATCAATGTAATCAAAAATCTCAACAAAGACCTCAAATTTTCAACCTTTTTTTACAAAAAGAGAACTAATGTTATCAGAAACCTACCCATAACCACATTAAGTTTTCTACTTCTCTCACAAAACATAATTAATGTCATCACTCTCACAAAACATAATTAATGTCATCACAAACCTCTCTACACACATAAAGTTCTCAAACATTATGAGAGATCTCTCAACAACCACTTAAAGTTCAAACTTTCTTCCACAAAACAGAATAAAATCCAAAAAGGAAACAGACCCATATGCAGAAAGAGAGGGAGAAGTGGACGGTCTAACCTTGGCAACCATTCGTTGAAAGGTGATGTCTTCATCGTCAATCTTATCCTTGCCTTTACCCCACTTCTTATCTGCAACCAAATCAATTCAAAACCATAGTATGATTAATCAATTAATTGATTTTAATCAATTAATTAATAAAATCAAATAATTGGATTGGATTAAAAAGCTTGTCCCACCTTTTGGGTCACTGAGATTTGTGTATTCACGAACTTCTCTTCCTGCCATCTTCAGTCTACACTCCTTAACAATCGATTCCTCTGAAAACTTTGCTTCAGCCGTGGATGATTCTTCTAGATTTTAACAATTTTTCGCCTTTTTTTAATCTTTGTCTTCTGTGTATCTCCTCAGTGTTAGAGTTTATGGGCCTTTTATAAACCTAGCCCACACAACACAAGGCCCAAAATGGTCCATGAATAGAAATAAAGCTTGATTCCATTTGAGACTACTATAACCTTAGAGTAATACTTTGGGTACTAACGGATGGGTACTAATCTGTGTACTAACTAAAGCATAGTACGGGTACTATGCGCATAGTACGGGTACTATACTTTAGTTAGTACACAAATTAGTACCCATCCATTAGTACCCATAGCATCACTCATAACCTTATATAAAAATTGAATAATACTTTGGGTACTAATGGATGAGTACTAATTTGTGTACTAACTAAAGCATAGTACAGGTACTATGTGCATAGTACAGGTACTATGCTATAGTTAGTACATAAATTAGTACTCATTCATTAGTACCCATAGCATCACTCATAAAAATTTGGGGCCACTGTAATATCGAATTTAAATAGAAAATTTGTTTTGAAAATAATTAATTTAAGAAAATTTTGAACTCCGAAGGTGTGTGCTTATGTTAGAACTCTTATACATAAGCAATTAATAACAAAATTAATTATATTATTACATAATAATAAATATAAATACATTCATTAAAAACTAATTAAAATGTTTAATTAGTTTTTATTAAATTGGTTTAAATTAGTTTCGATGTGGAATTTGAGCCCCATTTCCCATTTTAATTTGAATAATATTATAATTACAAATTATTTAATATAAAATAATATTCTATTATTGTAGCAACTTTTTGGGTAACCGAAAGTGTCCAAGTCAATTTACGCGTACCTCAACTAATCCGTTAAGACCTTGAAATTGACAACCAGACATTTTTTTCTCTAAGGCTATCCTAAAATTGACAGTAAGGTAAATGGTAATGTTTCAATGATATCAAGGAAAATTGAACTTAAAACCTTTTAAATAATACACCAAAGAGTTCATATTCTACCACTTGGCCACCCAGGATTGGTTCATTCACCCAATATCTTTGTTACATATAAAAGAATTTACATAAAAAAAATTATATTCATGAGAATTTCATCCTTAAGTATTATAATTCTTCAAGAATGAATTTATTTATCAACAATGCTTTAACATTGAAAAAAAAAAATACTTTAACGCTTTTTCACTATATTACATAAATTTTAGCTTTAAGAGAGAATTTACACATCATCAAAAAATAATAAAATAAAAATGATTGTAAGAAATTACAATAGAAATTAAATAATAAATAAGTACACCATCCAATTTTTTATTTTTCTATTTTTTTCACTCTGATATAATTTGTGATTGTCGATTCATCAAGCAAATTTGGAAGCCATTCACCAATCGAGCTGATGGAAAAAATGACATTTGATCTTCCTTAACTTGAGTCCACCTAATTAAATCATCCAAAGAATTAATTAATATAATAAAATCATAAGCTTAATTATAATCTTAATCAAAACTATAATATAAAAATTATAGCTAATCCTAAGTCCAAATTAACCTGTAAGTAGTGACAAAGTAATGAAGAAACAGAGCAATTTGGAGGCGAGCCAACTCTGCTCCTGGACAAAATCTAGCACCCCCTCCGAAAGGGGAATAATATGGGCTATTTCTCCAGTTTCTCTTTTTCTACACATGAAATAAATTAAATTAGAAAAATACAAAATGGTGAAATAATAATAATTTTTTGATGAATTTTTTGCTAATTCTAACCTCATTTTCAGGGTCCATCCATCTCCAGGGATTGAATGTGACAGCTTCCTTATACAAATTCTCATCCAAATGAACTGCTGATAGAAATGGAACTACAAAGCATCCTTTAGGGATAACATAATCTACCAAGATAATTACAAATAAATCAGCTCTTTTGTTTCAGAAATTCAATTTATGATATGATTATTGACAAGAAACATATGGATGTACCTTCATATGTCACGTCTTCTTTGGCCTCTCTCATTAACCAAATTGCAATGCCTCCGATCCTCAGTGTTTCATCGATAACCTATATTATGTATCATTTCAAATGAGTTTAAGAAATTTTAACATTGAACAGTCTCACCATGACAACAAAACGAGACAGTAAAACTATACCATGTAAATGTTTATCCCGATTCTAATACATTCACCAAATTCCAAATTACTAATAACTTACACATTGAGTAAAAGGCATTGATTTGTAATCTTGCCATGTTAGCAGTTCATCCCTCTTTAGACTGTATTGTTCCTCCTATAGGCCAAAAAAGAAAAGAAAGGGTTAATTAGAGACCCTTGAAATTCTGAAGCAAAAGTTCATACCAAATCTAGCACATAAAGAACATTTAAGTGTACCAGAAGTTGCTTCATGGCTCTGGGACATTGAGTAAGAAAATAAGCTGCAAAAAGCATTGTTTTAGCTGTAGTTTCATTTCCAGCGAACAGAAGATTGATAATGAAGTCTGATATAGTTTCATCCGGCAAGTTTTCTTCATCTAATATTCTTCCAAGAACACCATTATTACTGGCTTCTGATGACCCTTTTACCCTGTGCTCATTAACAGTCTTCTTTATCTTGCTTATGATCCTCTCCCTTGCCTGTCAAGACATTTAACATTCAAATCTCATAATACTAATTTAGCAGTTCGGAAGCATAATCTATAAAATCATTTCCCAATTTACCTTCATGGCAGTATGGTAAGTGAATCCTGGCAAATTGATGGGAACAGAAAGACAACCATCAACAAAATCAGAAAACAACTGAGCCATCTCATTGACTTCGGATTCACTCGAAACGCCTAACAGTTGATTCACCATGAGATTGATAGCAACCTGGAATTAAAATCAACCACCAATTATCAGCAAACCTGCTCTACAATTAACTGAATTTAAGAATCCTGAGGGAGAACGAGAAATTGTACTTGCCTTTCTGCAAACATCCTGGAGAAGAATAACCTGATTATCCTGGAAATTCTTCAAAGTCTGAAACATGATCATCTGAATATCATTCAAGAAATGGAATTTCAGCTTGTCTAAACGCATCATATTCGAAGCAATGCTATGAAGCTTCCTGTGTTGCTCTCCTTGAACTGTGATGACACCATTTTTGCCAACCAAATCTCTGAAAGATTTCGGATAGCTTGACTGAAACAACCTGCCTTCATTTTGCATCACAAATCGATTAAAGCTGGGATCTGCAGAAACCACAGCCCATTTACCAAACAAACTACACTTGAAAATCTTGCCGAATCTCTTGACTTGCTCTTCAACAAAACCTGGAGGGTGAGAACTTGCCACAGCATTGTACCAGTTGAAGCTGTCACCCACCAGGGGCCACCCTCTTTTTCCTGGAGGCAACCTATAGGTGGTTTTATCAACTGAATTCTTTTTGCTAAACACGATTTTTACAATCAAAACGATGAACAGTAATGTTGAGAAGAGCATAACAGACAATTCTGCGGGATAAATTTCTCCCATTTTGGGAACAAAAATGGGGAAGAGAGAGAGAGAGAGAATTGAACGCTGCAGAGCTGAAAGATCAGTTCATGGTTTCATATATAGTAAGTTCAATATAATATGCTTATAATTAAAAAAAAAAAAAAACAAAACAAAAAAAAAAAAACAGTTGTTGTAGTGAAAAATGAAATATAATTTGCAAATTAATTCATAAGTTCCAGTGACCTTTATTTTAAGAGAGAACGACATGTGTCCACCCAAAGTGGCGAAATGACAATTTTTCACCCATCAAGTTTCAAAACAGACCATTTTCTCACCCACAGTGTTAACTTTAACGAAAAAGGATAGAATGGTAAATTTAAAAACCAGATAAAGGGTATTTATGTCATTTATCTCTTATATATAAACTTTTGAAAAAAAATACCCGAATCAAACGCTTCCTCACCGCACTACCGCTCTCCCACAACTTTTCCTATCAACGCCATATCGGTCAAGCTCTCCCCTTGCCAGTTCTATGCCAAGTTAACTCTTCTCCTTCTCAATCAAGAAACATACTCTCTGCGCCAAATGTATCACTTATCATTTCCCCTCCCCCACCAATTGCCAGATCTGGCATTATATTGTTGTTATTTGGAAAATGGGTTGTTTTTTGTTTATGAATTGTTGGGGAATTGATGTGGCAGAGAAGTGATGGTAAAAAGGGAATCGCACGAGATCCGCCGTCGATTTGGCCAGATGCGATTTGGTTCGCCAAGGTATTGGAAATCTTCTCATGAGAGGTCATGTTGAGGAAGCCCTTGAACGCATTGATCTGCTGAGCACAATGGTTGTGCAACCAATTTTGGTAGTTTCTAATATTCTGTCTGAGAAAAGGAAGATCGTTGTTGCTCTGAAGTTGTGTGATGTCAAAGAGAGTAGTTTTGCCTTTTATCTCCCTTCTAATTTTAGTGTAGTTTTTCAAGTAGAGAACTCTTGCTTGAAATTTTAGTTTGAGAATGATTCGAAGAGCTCCATTTGATCAGAATAACGGTGGAAAAATAATGTCATTTGTTCAGAATTTGAAAGGTGTAACACTGCACTAATCGTCTACTATACCGCATGAAGTTTTGCTTCATATTTCTGAAAACCAGTTCTATGTGTCAAGCTTCCACAGTCATTTAACATAAATATTTTAATCCATTTGCAGCTTTGGAAAGGATGATTTGTTTTTAAAATCAGTTTTTTGTTGCAATGTTAATATTGTAACACAATCCATGGAACCTAAAGCAAAGTCAGGCTTCCAGGGTAAGGTGGAAATCGGCCGCCTTTTTAGCGAAGGGAAAGAAGAAAAAAGAGAAGGGTAGTTTTGTCTTTACACTGTTTAACATGTTAAAGAAAAGATTTTCATGACGAACATAACGGTAGGTGGGAAAATGTTGTTTGAAACTTGACGGGTGGGAAAGTTGAAAGGGGTAGGGGGGCTGTTAGCTGATTTTTTTTTGTTTGGTGTTTCCCCACGGTTTTTTGCACCCCCTTTGGGTGTTTTTTCTTTGTTGTAGTAGAAAAATGA